TCTGACGTCACGCTCCTCGATGCCGACCTCCTGGTCATTGCCGATGACGGACCCCGGCTTCTTCTTCTGCAATCCAGATCCCCCACCCCCGCACCCCACTGACACTTCTTCAGCGTGACCTTGGAGCTGCTGCTGGAGACCTGGTGCCAGCTCCGGATGGCGGCAGCCCGGTGGCAGCCTGGAGTGACCTTGAAGTGCGTTGGTAGCCCCACTGTTTAACTACTTCTACGGTTTTTGACATGTGGCATTCGAAGGCAATGAAGTTGGGGACTCTTCTTCAACTTTCTTGATCGAATTTTTCTTGAGCTTCTTATGCACCAAGTTGTGTAGTAGGTTCCACTCTGTTGTGACCAGGTCGACAGTTGCATTTCCTTTGTTGTTCATTTTCCTTCAGATCTTTACTTCAGTTACGAAGGTTTTGCAGTATGTAATATGAATCAGTCCTTATTTCTTCTTCGCCTTCTTGGAGGAGACAAGCACATTTGTCTGACTTGTCTGGATTCGTTCGTTTGGACTATGTTTCAAGAAAGACACATGCAATTAATTAAAGAAATTGTTATTTTCATTTCTGTTTAGAGGGGTTTGCTGATAGCACTTTTAAATTTACTCACAATGAAGCAAAAATACATGTACACTAGACTCCACATAATTTTGTTCGTGAACTAAGCATAGTTTGATTTCTCAATACCTCAATATTCACTACAGAATGTCTAACTTACAATCAAGTGTTCGAGGTTCGACTAGAAAAACTCTACACGCGTATTTTTTAATTTCCATTCTCAAAAATCCCGTTCCATTTATAATCATTACTCGTGCTCCGCGTACTTCGATACATGAAAAACGGTAAGCCCCTTTCGTATTCCATTTGGACTTTGAATAATAACAATCGAGAATTACATGGAAACGGTTATGCCCGACGCGCTGCCTTTTGGGTTTACCGGAAATATAAATGAGTTTCTGTGTAAATTATTCAAAATATAATAGAGAGCATTCGGAATTATATTTCGATGCCGCGAACGCTGAACGGATTATGGGATCACGTCGAGTAATTTCCGCCCTGATATGTTTAATACTGGCAAGGGAAAGGACGACGACGTTTCGCGGAGCGTTCGTTTTAGCCCGCACAGGAAATTATCACAGATCCAGAGAGCGTCGGCTGTTTTGTGTACAATGCAGCAGATAGAATATTTCATTTCTACGGTGGATTCGAAATTACTATTTTTTATCATCCACATTTACTTCCTTAGCCTTACTTATGAATCTTTAACCTGCACTTGTTGTTCTAGGGCTAACCTCTGTGGGGGCTACCTACCCGCTACCAGAACCCTAAGACCCGCCCTGATATTGATGTCGATTTTTGTTGTTCGTTCTAAGTTTACAGACTAATTCATTAATTTTCTAAATTCTTTCACAGAAAGTAAAGTATCGAAATAAAGGAAACGACGTTCATTATGACACAAATAAATCGAAATAGATCGAAATTAATGATGAATATAAACGTCATTGTTGTATCTTACTACAGTGAAAATATACAGCTTGCACCGTTGCTAAGCAACTACTCCATTTTTATGTGTACGCAATAGAAAGCAAAAAGAAACATTATCCCGAATGGTTGTAATAAAAGTAAAATCTAAATTCTGTAATAAACCGCGAGGAAGAAAGAATATACTTAAAAATTTAAAACCTGGAAAGCCATAAGAAGTAAGTAAACCTACGTTGTATAGTAAAATTTTATAACAATGCTATAAAACAAGTCTTTGATCAATGGAAATGAACTCCAGTGAATATTTTAAGGAATATTATTTCCTGATTTTTTTGCGGAAACCGTACCTTTTGTATATTTGAAAGGAAACAGCAGACGATTTTAGCATGTACAGCTCAACCAATTTCATCTGCTAGGTAAGATGCACAAAACTGATATTTTTTATACAGGATGAAACAGTCATAATGCCATTAATTTTAAGGGAAAATAGGAAAAAATCAGTAGAATAATGAACTATATATAGTGATTCTAAAAATATTCTATTATACAAGTCTTTGATACAGGACTCTGAATTTGATTGTAAAGATGTAGATTGTCAAAAACGAGTTGTGATACTCGTAGAAAACATAAGAAAATCAAAAATAAATGTACGCTCTGTTGTCAGAATATAACACCGGCCTACAAAATATTGTTAAAAAGAATCAATTGTACGCCCTTTCATTTAAGTGACTGCTCAACTCCCGACTTCACTCTTAAAACTCTTTTTAAGGACACTTAATGATGCTACGCTTCATTGCAATTTTTCTTAAGTAATTCTGAATCGGCAGATAAATGAAGGCTTCTGTGTTAATAATGGGTTAAACGTTAATAGTTATGTTAATGCGTCAATTTATTCTACACTGAGGGAAATAAACCAATAAAGTTATGCTGATATAATCTGTATTATAATGGCAATTTTTCTTATTAAGTTAAAACACAGGGTGATTCACAACTTATCCAAAAAAATTTGGGAATAGATGTGGCATGAGAAATGGAGTCAATATCGTAAAAAAATGTAAAATACTTATAGTTTCCGAGAAGTTGTAGTACATTCGCAATACGCGTGGAGAGTCACGTGACCTCAGCGGCTCGAAATACTGAAAATCGATTTTACAATCATCGTTGCGATAGTGTTTACCTGTTATCTGTGGTGTTTACAATAGTTTTTTAGTAGTTTGTGTCAAAAATGGTTTGAGTGTACAGCAACTCGAAGTTGATAGATATCGTTTTAATATATGATTTGCATTATTTTTATTGCGTCGATATTTATGCTCAAAACTAGAATCTTCAAGCTTCAAGATGCTTCTTTTTTTTGTCGCCATTATTCACGAATGTACGGCTTTTCAAAAATCACCAAAAAAATTTGAAAATTTTTCTGCTCGTGTAACTTTTTTGCCGAGTTTATACGCGAAGCGCCTCCCCAAACAATGCGAGGAATTTGGAACTGGCCTTGCGCCGCGGGTAAATAAGAATCATATGAAACTAATGCAATAATCTAAATTCGGAAACTTTGTATATTCGGCCCCGGAACGCCTCCGCGCCACCCCCGCCGTCCCCCGCGACACCCCGATCCAGGCTTTCCGCCAGGGAGTTTTTATTTCCATACAGCGGTGCTCTAAATTAGGGTTAGCAAGTTTTAGAATTTAATATAAAGTTCGCCTATAAAACACAAAGAAAAAACTACAACTATTTTAAAAGCTCCGCCAATTAGGCTTTTAAAGTTTTCCGTTTTACGAGCAAACTTTGTTTTTATCGAACACGTATATACGGCGCTTAAGCGGAATTAAATAAGTGCTGATTTAATTTAAATTTATTCCTCAGTTAATATTGCCGCCGTTAAAGCCTGTATCCCATTCTCGTTCTGCCCTCCCCCCCCCCCCCTTGTTAAAGCAGGTTTCCATTACACCCCCATTTAAATACGTGTAAATACAGTTCAGTGGTTAAAAATGTAATTATACGAAATCCACGGTATAGCTTTACAAGGATGCAATAAATTGTATAACAAGTCGCATATATCATATATTTCATTAGATAAACGAAAATCTTAGAACTAGTCAAACGTGAGTGTTATCCAAGGAACTGTCCTGGGGCCCTTGCTATTCATTATTTATGTGTGTCTATGTAACATATTATACCTAGAAATTTATAAAGAACTCATTCGGCTAGAACGAACAAGACGTAGGCACGGCGAATTGGAACTGGAGCTGTCTCAGATGCAAACTTATTGGCGTCGGTGTGTACATACCTTTATTGCCGCTTCTGCGAAGTTTAATTTATCTGGTGTATCGCGGCGGTCGTAAATATGATACATGTGACATAGCAGCAACAATCGTATCAGTTCTCATAAAAAATATATACTGCACAGTAAAAGCTGAACTGCGTCCCAACTGGTCGGAACTGTATATCCAGTAAAACTTCATATTTTATACATCGACCATTTGATATCTTTGAAGTCTTTTTGTTCGCGGCGCGAGCTATTATTTTATCACATAAACTGTATGCCGTTGCGCTTTGATAAACTGGGGCGCATTTGTATAAAAGGAAAGTACGACGATAAATTGCAGTTTCCCGATGAAATATTGCATATATATTTTCATTTCCGGAAATTTCCGGGCGTTTGTTTTATTTGTTCTGGGCGGGTTTTTGCGGTAATCGTTTCTAGTTCTTTAGCTCAGATTAAAAAAAAAATATATTAAAAGAAACTTACCATTACTATTTATATTATAACCTATTCTTTGTTAACTGTTTATCTTTTGTACAGCAAAGAATTTTGACTAAAACGGTTTTCTGTAACACAAATATGAATTCCGGCTAAGCTAACTGCAAATCCATTCCTCTCTCAAAAATAAATAGAAACACAACGTTATGGCCATCAAAGGAGAATTCTGCTCTTTTGATGTCGGCGCCCCAAAAGAGTTTTCCAATTTAATATCTATAAAACTTCGCACATTAAGGGATCTAGCTTTATATTAAACTTAAAACAGTGATTTTTCACTCTCGCTTGGTTTTCTTTTCAACTCCGCTTTGTAGATGGAATCTTATAATTAATATTTCGTTTTTCTCCACAGCTATGGATGTTTGATCTACGTAGCGACCCAAATCGCCTCCGGGATGAAATATTTGGAGTCTCTGGACCTGGTGCACAGGGACCTAGCCGCAAGGTGGGGTCGATATACATGTTACAGCAGCGACTGTCAAACTCAATAGATATAAAAAATTAGTGCACTTCATTTCCATCCCCACATGCAAAGGAAGTTGTTTCGTTTCCTTTGTTTTGTTATAAACTTAATTTGTACACTTAAATCTTTGCCAACACTACACAACTTAAAGTCTTTCCAATGTCAATTGAAGAACCAAGAGGTTGGCAGTATGTACCAGGTTCGGTTCGGTAAATGGCCTAGCAGTGCAGTGCAGCAATGCGGGATTTGGTGTGATTCAAGTAATTTTAATGTATTATAGGCACCTTCTATTAGTCATTCATATTACAATTGCGAAAGGGAGAAATAAGAGGCATATTTCGTTTACTAATATTATTACATGGCATTTTGGAGACCTTTTCAAACGGAACAAAACGAAATTTACCATCAATATAATAAAATTGTTTGAGGACATAAATAATTAAAATATGTTGTTGGTCAAATGAACATATAATAGAAATTTTCAACACATTATATACAAATTATTATAATTTTTTACCTTTAGCAGAAAACTATTTTACGGACGCCCTATTTTATTGCTGGGCGTTTTTATACATGCTCAACTGATTTCGGAAAGACTTATATCATGAAAATGATATTATATCACTTCTTCTAATACACAACTTCTTGATTTTTGGCTTATTTTTATGTTTAGCAATGATGATTATATTATATGTACGACTATAGTATATCTATCTCCCACATTACTGTTTTTAGTTGAAATTTTGAGAATTAATAGTGAATTAATATTACCTGTTTATTTTTAGGAATTGTGTTATAGACAAAAACTTTACAGTTAAAGTTTCGGACCACGCCATGTACTGTGAACGTTATGAAAACGACTACTACATAAGCGACACTAAAGCAAGACTGCCCATAAGATGGATGTCATGGGAAGCGCTTCTTCTGGTAAGATAATGAATTTCCTAAATCCTCCAATTCGATTCGACATTATCCTTAGGTTCTCAATTTAATGTTCCGCAAAGTTCATATCGTAGGCCTCTGTCATTTGTCATATTTATTAATGACAATTACATTTTTAGTTAGCGATTTTCATGTTGTTTTAAGTTTTAGTAACCGTTTGTAAAAATTAGATATAATATATTAAAAAAAATACCAGTAACACTTTTTGCAGGCTAAAGTAGAACTTGATTTGCACAAATAAAATATGTTAACAACATCATCAGATTAATACAATCTACATGTAAATTTCCTTGCACTTTCTACTTGGTGTTCCTCAAGGCTCAAATATTGGACCTCTTTTATTTTAATTACCATAAATCAGCCATTTTCGTTCCTTTCCGAGTATAACTGCGTTTATAACTTTTAATTATAGTTGCTGTTAATACTAATACAGTTATTATTAATGTCTTTGTTTAATTATTAGGGAAGACAGACCACCAAAAGCGACGTATGGGCCTTCGCGGTGGCCTTGTGGGAGATTTTAATGTTCTGCACCCAGCAACCGTACGCTGAGTTGACCAGCGAGCAAGTCGTGGAGAACAGTAACCATTGGTACCAAAACGATGGGTGCCAGAGGTACCTTTCTCGACCAACGGCTTGCCCTAGGGAGATATACGACCTCATGGGAGAGTGTTGGAAAAGGAATGCAGCAGACAGGCCTCGTTTCTCGGAGATCCACCTCTTCTTGCAACGGAAGAACCTGGGATACATGCCCGGCCCAAACTCACAAGTATAGAGAAGCTTGTGACCAAAAACTGACTGTTATTTGAATTACCTTACTTGTCTTACGTTTTTGGGATGAATGTGATGTATGTTTCTTTTAAAATTTGAATGTTACAAGCAGGTTATCCGTAGCGTAAGGAGTTGTTTGAAACGTATATCCTTAATTGTCTGAAATTCCTTTAATTTTCCACTTACTACGTGTAAACCCATTGTGATATCGCGCAAGATCTTGCGCAAATTAAATCATATCGTTCTATTAAAAGTGTATAAATATTGTCACTTGAAAAACATTGCACGTCCCCGATTTATTTTAGAGTTAATATTTAGGGGTATACTGCTACCTAATTGTCATTGTCTAGTAATGTAAGCATCAAAAATGTTGTAAAAACACTTAGTCCTGAAATATGCTCAACGACTGTATAAAAAAGATATTATTGTGCAACGGTGTATTCTAATTTTTTGTGTTAGTTAGCATAGAGTATATTTCATAGCCAGATATGCAACAAGATTTGTACAATTCTTCAAATGAATTGAAAATCATAAAATATGTTTGTTCAACCTTTTAAGACATATGCAGATCTGTAGATTAAGGCAAATAAAGACAAACAAGTTTTCAAGATAAAGAATTATTTACCTTTTAAGAGTTTAAATGATGGCCTTGTTAACATTACTCCAAATAGAAATTGATATATTCTTAGCCAATAATTATCTCTGTCAACGGATTTTCTTCAAAATTCGAGCAAAGAAATTTGTCTTCCCCTTATACCACATCTAATCATCATGTTTGGTAGTCCATTTATTATGTCGCTGCACTGCGACCGAGGTTTTTAAGGCTAACTCTTGTTAGAACGGATGCGAGAATATTTTCGCGAAATCGCAAAAAAAACTGCGAATTTCGGTCTAACGTAAATCAGCCTTTATATTGATCCTAAAGAATCATTTAAAATATAATTATATTAGATAATTTATAAAATCAAAAACAGGTCAGCCAGTAATCAAAATTGGCTGTTTGATGAACTTGGTTAGATAGATAGTCGAAAATATACCAATATTGTTTTTTATATATATTCTGTGAATAATTTAGTTCTGCAGCTGTATCATACAAAAGCAAGTGATAAAACTGCACTATTTCATTATTATGCGCAAAACCCCTAAAACTTGCAGTAAATGACTGTGATCCCTAACAAATCTTTCATATAGAATGAAGAATAAGGCAGATAATTTTAGAACGGGTATAACTAAAAAGTACGAACAAATTTTGTGATTTTTAATTCGCTGCACGAAATTCATCTTAAAACTAAAAATTCATTAAGGAAAACTGGGCGAATGTTTTTCAAGTGTTTGACCTAGAGAAATAAGGACCTCTTTCTTCATTATGTGCTTCCTTAACATTGTGTCGGTAAATACCAGCGATCCACATGGTAATAATAAAGATGTCGTTTATTTGAAAGTTTTTGTACCATACCGTTTTGAGGAGTAGTTGAGACGCTACTCGCGGTTCACTTACAATGAATGAAAACCCTTCAATTACCCATTTATTGGGCGTGTACATTTTTCTAGTCAAAGTAAATTTTAGAAACTAAGACTAAATGATATACAATAAGATGTTGTTGTAATGGTATTATAAATTGAATTTATAATATTATACGTTTAATAACAATATTACAACTGCCGAAAACCGTCAAAGTTGTGATCCAAATTATATGTAGCATTGTAGGTAACGTTTTACTTAAAATTTAAATTTCTTCTCGTACCAGGCTCTGTGTTATTCGTGTCTGTTGAATTAGACCACACTGATTATATAATTTATTTCGAGTGACCGCGAAAAATTCTAAAATATCTTTTTATAAATACTATAGTATAACATAAGGGCTACTTTTTAAAAAATTTGCATTCGACCAACTTTTATAACTATTAAGTTTGCACACTTCGACATGTTACGATTAGAAAAATATGCTACGACTTCCATTTACCTGTTCAAAATTTAAATTTTAAATGTAGCTATATATATGACGTTTCCCCAATTGACAGGGTTTAATTTACCTAAAACGAATGCCTAAAGTGGAGGTCAAATTATTTAACGTCTGTACATTCCAATTTTCTATATACCTGTAACATTGTTTGATAATTGGTGGACGGTTTTATTGACAACTAAATACGACAAAAAAATTCTACTACCTGCTAATACGACTTCTGTTTCTTTGTTATTATAATATTTTTATATTTATCTTCAATGTATTTTTATAGCATGGTATGGTTTGATAATTTTTAACATCACGTTGCCAAATATCCGCTCAATTTATCCTAAAGTATTTTAATTAGACGGGCATAAAAAATAAAAAAGTTTCATGTTCGGTAGACTAGACTCCCTCCTCCCCTCCCATACCCACCACATGCAATCAAACAAATTTTCAAGATTAAGCTGGAATTCAAACATATATGTTCAGAGTACCACATACTTGACTTGAGTATCCAGTATGGTTCTATCTCCCGAAGCATAGCTTTCCATAACAGATTCGCACCAACTTGATGGTGCAATTCTGATGTCACAAACATATGAAACTTTTTTTATTTTGTGTGCCCCTGTTGTAAATAGGTTTACTGACCTTACTCTAGAGAGCCTCTCCTCGATATTCATTCTGAAAAAAAAAAAATGATAAATCTTGTTTTAAGTTTGCTATAGCTGTACTTCAATAAAACAGTCTATCGATTGAGAAAGTCTTTTGTAAAATATTTGTATTTTTATATAACTGTACTTATTTAAATGCAAAATTTCCAGTGCCATTCACCCTGTAAATAGGATCCTTTGTATATATTAATTAGACTACAAAACTATGGGACGATTCATAAAGTACCAAGGATGTATACAGGCATGATTATTTTTAGATATAAATCTAAACTTAAATATATATTAGCGAGTAAGTACTACCATAATAAGGTATTTTCTATAAACAGGATGTTGTTGAAAAAATAACCAATATATACTGCAAATTTGGTTTTAAAAAAATAAAAAATTATGTATGTATATCCGTTTAAAAGAATCTGTTACGTGCAGCTGATACGTGATTTTTGAGTATTTAAACGTTTTTTACGATGCGTATACTCAGAGGTTGTAAATCAGTGGGTCTCCAAATTTACGCAAGTCACGGTAATTTATTTTTAAGAGCACGAGACAATCAAGTGCGTGAATTAAAATCATGCTTATAGGAAACGCATAGTAGCATATAGCGCTCTCCGGACCTGGCATTGAAATTTTTCTGTGTTGCACCACTAACGCTTATTCAAGCAAAAACACTCTTAGACAACACACAACCTTCTTGTTCGATTATTTTACTAAAATGGAATTAATGATAAATTTCTATTGTGTAACATTCATTCATTCACTGTTTATATCATAAACAGAGACGCTCTTTTTCATGTGAACATTTTTATATAGGTGTTTGATTAAATACATATCACGAATAAATAATTTCAATTTTCATTATACTTGCATGTGTCAAATTACCTGTGTGTTTTTTTGTAAATACATAAAAATATGTTTATTTATGACAGTTAGAGAGAAATAAAAGACACATGGCAATTATTTGATGTGTTTTATTTATTTCATTCCGTGCTCGCGAAGTGCCTTACTTTCATCCTACGACACAAAAATAAAAATAGTTTGATATTTGAAACGATTTTATTTGGCTAATAAACAATCTAAATATCTTTGTAGCCAATTCACATAGCTTATACCAAAGACATTATAATTGGCTTATACAGATGGGCCGTGTGATATTATTGTTGGCTTGTTTAAAAAATTCTAATCTCTTATTGGCTCTACGAAATCCATCACATCGAAATGATGAATAAAGGAACACGGCCATGTGAATAAAAGCCGCCATATTTCAAAGAAGTAAATTGGGGACGTTCGTTGACGGTACTAATTTGTATTAAGTCGTCAAAATTATTAGTGGCCAATCTGCTCCAGTTTAAAGGTCGTTGGTACAATAGTCATTTTCTTTCTTTTTGGGTGGCGATACTGAAGCTCTATTACGAAGTCTATGGTTTCACTGTTGTTCTGGATCTGTGTTCAATGAATTGACGTTTCACAAAATTGACATTAGACAACGCAGTGCAATTTTATGTGATTATAATAAAGTACCGAGTCTTTAAAGTGATTTTTAGGAAACACGTTTATATAAAATGCCCAAAGAAAAACTAAACCGGAAACGTAAACACGAACCGAAGCCAGAGGAGGACGTCGAATATCAAATCGATGCCCCAAAACAAAAATTCCGACCTTTTGACCAGCAGGCGCAAGCAGAAGAGGAACATTTGTCGCAAATTCTTTTCGGCGGAGCTCAAACTTTCTTACAATGTTTAGAAGAAGCAGAGCAAGAAGCAGGCCCCTCACAGACCAATGCAGATTCGGGAGTTGGAGAGGACGACAGCTCTGATAGCGATGAAAATATTCGCAAACCGGCATGGACAGATGAAGACGATGATGGTATTGAAGTGGGCCAAGCTCTGGACGCACAGAGGCGCAAACTTCCATCGGGAGGTATCAACAGCCGGAACAACAAATATTCAAACCTGCTTAAGCACAAATTCCAGACTGCCGTTGGTACTCCTAAGTGGGCAGCTTTGGGTAAATCAAAACATACGGATTCAGATTCAGATGAGGAGATATTGCGAACCTGTGGTTTCATAAATAAAACATCTAAAACCACATTACCTTCTACTTTACTCGAATTCAAGAAAGTTAAGGACTTGAACTGCGAGACATATTCAGAGGGCCCGTACATCAATGCTGTGGAATTTCACCAAACATCTACCGTTGCTTTAGTTGCAGGAAACGGAGGTGTTACTTCTTTATTTGCTGTTGACGGGAAGCGCAACAATAAACTACTTAGCATAGCCTTTGAACGTTTCCCAATTATATGTGCAAAATTCACACAAAACGGCAACGAGGCTATACTAGGATCGAGACATTCACATCTATTTAATTTCGATTTATTAGCAGCCAAAGCGACGCGATATAACCTTCCTCAAGGCCTAACACAATGTAAAAACTTTATCGTTTCTCCCGATTCACAATTCATCGCCATCGCTGGGAAATGGGGAGAGGTACACATCTTAACGGCAGCTTCTAAGGAAAGGATAGCTCTACTGAAGCAAGATTCTGAAGTGACAGCTCTAACATTCAATCCGAGAGGTAGATATTAAATTAATTAAATAAAATTGATAAATATTTCCGTTTTGTTGTTTTTTATAGGCAATTTGCTTTTTGGACATAGCGATACCAGTGAAGTAACTGTTTGGGATATGAATATGCATAGAGTAAAGCACAAATTCACCGACGAAGGTTGTATACAAGGCACTACGTTAGCCATCTCTTCGTCGAACCAATTCATAGCAGCAGGCTCGGCTCAAGGAGTGGTAAATTTGTACGGGTTGGAGGATGTCTTACAGAACAAGCTGCCTAAACCTAGAAAAACGATTCTTAATCTAACTACAGGAATAAGTGATTTAAAATTCAACCCCTCCTCGGAAATATTAGCGTTTTGTTCGGCGGATATTCAGAATTCCGTTAAATTATTCCATATAGGTTCAGGGACTGTTTTTAATAATTTTCCCTCGTTTGGAACCAAAATAGGTAATATTAACAAACTGAACTTTTCCCCAGGCAGCGGGTACATCGCCTTCGGGAATAGGAAATCGATAGTTCCTTTATATCGGTTGAAGCATTTCAAAAATTACTAACACCCCAGTCACCTGTAAGAGGTCGCTCACTGTACTAATCATGATAAATATTTGGATGTAAAAGTCTAGATGGTGTAATCGTAATAGAAAAATGTAGCTATTTTTAAATATAAATGTTTGAAAATTATATAGGGAAGAGATTATCCGTGTGTAGTAATTTTCGAGTATCGGAAACTTTTAACCACTTTCTGTAAAAATCACGTATGTGGATGCACATTTATGATTAAATTCCAAATAAATCATATCGTGTTAATATGCATTTAGCGTATAGTTATGTTTTTCCCAATTTTTATACACAGTTTGGGGCAAGTGAAAAAATTATCATTGTACTTTATATCAATGTTGAAGCTTACAATTAATCGTATTGTGAAGTATTCTTTCTTTAAACAGAGAAAAGATGAATCTCATCGAGGACAGTTATAATAATTTTTTTTTGATAAACAAAAAACAGGTTTCGGGAAATTTTTGAGTATAATTAAATTATATTTTTTTCTAATATGGCAATTTTGTTTTCACAGTTCTTTTAAAATAATTATCCAAAGTGTGAAATATTTACATTAAACAGTAATTTATATTTAAGCCCACAGGTATTCAAAGTATTTTTTTGTATTAATACACATTGTCCTGGAAAATTCAATTTTGTCACATTTATTTTTGATTGTTACAACATTGTTATCTTAGTTTTTCAGTAAAGTTCTTTATTTTATGTAAAATAGATATAAAAAAACAGCTTGCAAAATAAGTTGCATGATTAATAAAATTATATTAATTTTTTTTATTTTATTTGCAGAGTAAGACGATTCTCTTTATTATTACAGTTTATTTTATTTGAATTAGTCTAAATCTATATTTGTGTAAGAATAACTATTATACCTCATAAAGTTCTTGTAGAAAAAATATCCACAATATAAATATCAATCAATAGAGAATCAGTGTTTTTATGACAAAAATACTAGTAGCAAACGGACTGTGCCATCATATAAAAAACAGTCTGTAGATATATGCTTATATATTTCCTACTTCAATTTATCATTAATTATTTTTTATAAATATCAAATCAACATTTTTTTTTTTTTTTGAAAGATATATAGGTAAAAAAATTTATCCACATATATTTTTGAAGGAAATTGAATACCCTACAAAAAAGATCTGATTGAAAATTTTCGGCAGACCAGCTGTTTCCATGTAATCAAGAAAATTGATATTTTTTCAATTTGGCCTTTTAACTTTGGAATGTAAATAAGGAACAAATTAATATCTGAAAAAAATTGAGTCCAAAACGAAAAGAACAAAAATTTAATTTTTACTTCAAATTCAATCGTGAATAACTTGAAGGAGTAAATTTATGCAAAAATGTTAAGAGACCTTTTTTATAGAGCATTAAATTTCCTTTGAAAATCTGTATTGTTCTTTTTCAGTTATTAATTTGTTCGTTATTTACAAAATTCCAAAGTTAAAAAGTCAAATAGAAAAAACATCAATTTTCAATCAGTCCTTTTTTGTGGTGCATTCAATTTCCTTCAAAAATATATGTAGATACATTTTTTTACCTCGATGGTTTGGCAGTTTTGATGCAAAAATGAGATCAGGAATAAAAAATCGAAACTAGCGATGATAGACCTCTTCAAACTAATATTAAGGGCTCAAACTCGCATTATATATTTTTTTCGTCATTCCGAGTGATATTCTCGACATATCTTTCAAAAAAAAAACAGTCGATTTTTTTCGTCGTCTAATATGTATGTAAAAAAACGAATTTTTTTAGTTTTATTTGTATTTCGATTCTCTACAAATTGTCTCTTTAAAACATTCAGATTGCTTCGTTAGTTTTGGTTTTATAAGCAAAAAACTAAAAAGATGTTTTTTTTTTGCATAAAAATGTTTATAAAAATTAATTAATGGTAAATTAGAGTAGAAAATATATAAGTGTATATCTACACACTGTCTTTTATATGATAGCACAGTTCGTTTGCTACAAGTATTTTCGTCACAAAGAAAACCTCTATTGATTGGCCCAACAGTTTAAATAAACAGTGCACTTTAAAAATTGAAAATTGCAGTACTTGCTACAGCTGACCACTTTTATTAGAGAAATTCCAGGTTAAAACGGATTTTCATTATGACTTGGTCATTACTAAAAAATCAAAATTTAGATTTTTTTTTCCGAAATATTAGCAATTCATCATAGCTTGGTTAACAAGATGTTCTGCACTTTAAAAAAAATATATATCATATTTACCTCAAAAAATAAAAAAAGACACCTGTTTTTTTTTTAAACAAACCTAACATTACAAACTAAAAATGCTGTACTAAATAAAATCTGGTGCCACTATTGTATATAGTTGGCTATGAACAACAAAAAAAAGTCATAATCATCTGAACTAAATAGAAACTTTACTTTTTGGGACATTATGACACTACATATACCTACTTTCGGAAAGTGCAGAACAACTATGCCGCGGCTAAGGTTTTGATTGAAAAAATTATAACAGTTACTAAAATATTAAGTATGTCATGCAAAAAAAAAGTGACGTAAAGATATTAAAATATCAAAATTTGATTTTCTGGCTATAACTTCAAAACCTAAAACATCGAAAATCCGTTGGGACCTGAAGATTTCTCTCAATAAAACGACCAACATTCAGGAAAACCTGCAGCATTAGGTATATCTTTAATAATAACTGAGTATAACACGAAATTTTCCTGCAATAAAGGCAAAAAAAAAACAATTATTGCTTCATTATACTATTTTCCTGTAATAATCTTACGTTGATTGCTATTGGCGATAACGATTTGATAAATGTTTTCATAAAAAAGCCTCCGTTTGACAATTTCTACTCTATGCCAGTCGTCATAGACGTGTAGGTACGTAATCCATGTACTAGTCTTTCAATGTGTAGATTTTATGCACGGGAATTCCTTTTTATAAATTATAGTCCGTGAGGATAAATAATATTAAATTATATCAACCATCACTACCTTATATTATCATGCACACTGTATATTTGTATTGTATTCTTATACCGTTCGTACTAAAATACAGCCAACGTGGCACAATGTCTGAAAATTTTCCTGATATTTCAACTATACAAGTTCTGTGTTTTTTATGTTGATAAAACCTCAAAATAAAGTCTACGTCAAACTATTGGAGGAGTTTTACTTTGCAGTTTTTTTAATTAACAAACTTACCAATTACAGAATTTTTTTTATGTGATAGAATAATATATTTTATAATGGGAATGAATCTTTGATACAATCCATACAAAAGTCGTTTATGTGAACAATTTAGATAAATTTTACTATTACCAGTGTCCTTCCAGTTGGATATTTTATTTAAATGGAAATAGTAAAATAAAATCCAAATGAGAAGTAACATAGCAGCAAAAAGTCAAGACTACTTTGTACGGCAAATCGCTAATGAATTTTGAAATTAGACTATTCAAATCCTAACCAAAAAAAAATTATACCCTTAAAAAACACAGATTCTGAAAATATATCACCCATGTTCTACTAAAAAAAATATATACTAGAAACAGGTACATTTCCTCGATCAATTTTTTGACCTGCATCGAACGTACAAATAATATTAACGCAGCCAATTAACATATTGTTTACATCTAGTCAGAGCTAGCCAGTAAAGAAATAGATCAGGATAAAATTGAGGGGTTGGATGTTTGGTGACCGTTGAAGCTTCAGGTTAGTTCTGAACCGATACTGAGATATGATTTATAGTTTATTTTGTAAGGTTTTGTGTATATGTCCATATGTTGTGCCTCCTTTTTTCTACATCAAACGTGATTAGTTTTATGAGATTTGTTTTCACGATTTTGTAAACATTTTCATGATAATAAAACACGTAACTAACTGTATATTACAGGTGTGTTATTTAAAAACCCTTTTATAAGTTTTGATGACAAAAGTTACCTAAATATCTGCAGATTTTGGAAAGAACAAGCAGAGGGGCAGAAAAGTCGAACCGTTGAAATAAAAGAATATACAACTCAATTTGTGTATGCAAAATGAAATATCTTAATAGAAAAAGCTAAATAATTTTCCCACATCACACTATTAATAAGGTAACTTAAGCCAATATTGCCTTCAGCATCCAAAAAATAGTATTTTAATAAATAGATTCTGAGTGAGAAGGTTGCATGTCGTATAGGGAAATAACTATATTGTTTTTTTGTTAACAGACATGAATGTATTAGAATTTATTATTGATAATGTTTTACTTTAATAATGTTTACTTTAAAAATATGAGGGATGTGCCAAATTTTAGTACTTGCAAAATAATTAATTACATCTTCATAAAATCTTGGCACAATAATAATTTAATTAATTCCTTTTCTATTGATATTAACAAAACATTACTAAAACGATGTTTATTTATATTGTTTCACACGAAGATGATTAAAAGAAACGATGCACGTCTATTAGATCGTTTTGTTTTTGTATAGTTTTAAAAAGTACCAGAAAAAACTATTTCCCAGAAATGCATAAAAATTCGAGTCGTACTTATTGAATTAAAGAAGTAACCCTTTATAATTACCAAATTACCACGACATATAGATTCGGTTGACTCATAATGTCCTTTAAAAGCCAAATTTTTTAAAAATTTTTGAAAAGTCGATGTGTTTTCAAATTGTTACTGTTTTTTTCTAATTTCGTTATTATATCAAATTATTGCATCTTTCGCACACTTCCATTATCCGAAGATTTTGATACTATAATTACTATATCCAGTAAACTAAAAGAATTGCTTACCAACCATTGCACAATATCTTTGTAATTTTTAATTTCTTGAAGTAGTTTATACATATTGGCACTTACTAATCTCACTATTCACTACAGTTACTCACTACACTGTTCAATATCGTACTCACACTACGCATTGATACAAAAGCACTACATTTTGATTCAAATATTTCAAATAACCAGAATCTGACACTTCGGTACCACATAACCAAATTTTCGCACTACACAACAATCAACAATCTAGTTTAGGCGTCTCAAACGACACGATACGATTCTATGCGATCCGAGCGATTCCGAAAATGAACGGATGCCAGCCAGCCCTTGTACTCGTAAACTTCCCACAAATAAATTTTATTTATACCTATATTGCTTTAGGAATATAATATGCCTTATGTATCTCTAATTAAATATATACTAGAATTGCTTGTCTGCCTGGTCTATGTATGAAACAGCATAAAAAAATAAAACTGGTTCAATAAAATTTAAAATTTTATATCAGAAAAAGCTAGAAATATAAATTAAAATGTGCTTTTATTTTACTTGACTTATTCAATATTAAGAGGATTATTAATACTAAAACTAAAAGCAAAATTTGATTTCATGAGTTTAAATAGAAAAAAAAATACAACCGAGACTACGAAAAGCAACCACCACCACTGGCATAAACTATTAATGCTCAAGTCAATACATGATGGCAGCGATGTAGATAGAGTTAGGTATTTTTATTACCTCCATCTATATCTACTTACCTAATTAACATATATTCACTTTAATATTACAAATTCGTGTTTAGACCAGACCACTAGGTATAACATTTTTTACCAATGGGTGTCCATAAGGGAGAGCATTTTTGCATGCAACGCGTAAACGTCCCATCCAATTAGAAAATTTAATGATTATTTTTTTTTTATTTTTAAATAATTTTCATGTTGGTATATTGCTTTGTCCCCATAATAAATTTTCTGGCGACGGACGAAACAAATTTTTTATTAATTTTTATATTGTAACTTTCTACTCTTGGCAAATTTTCTAGGGACGCCCATGGCGACACTTCGCTTGATTTGTGATTGACAATTGACACTAGCATCAACGTGACGTATGCGCAACATTGCCACATATACCCATCAAATATGTATTGTATACAAATATTATCTTAGAGGAACAAGGATTAAATAAAAGACATTTTAAAAATGTTTATAAATTAATGTGGTCAAGGTCAAGAAATTATATCTATATTAATTTAAATCTCATAATTTTTACAAGTGCTGTTGGGTAGGTGGATATTTTGTAAAAAAAACTTAAAAAGAAGGCTCAAATTAAGTCACGAGGAAAACTGTGTTATAATTTCTCTTCGTAGTATTAGACTTCGTAATCGCAACTCTCAAGATTTATAAGGAATTCATAAAAATATGAAGAAATTCATTAGTATGGGATGTGTTAATCCGTACCTAAACAGCAACTATATACATGATCGAATACAATATATGTATTGCGTTAATATAGGTACCTAAATAGTGGTTAGTTGTCATATCAATTTCTGAGTAAATAAAAATTATAGTTGTAGATAAGATGAACAGAAAAAAAATGTTTGCACTTCGAAATAGAAAATGGTTATACTATTTTTTATGTACGTATCAGAAAAATTGAATTTCGCGGGCAAAATGATGTGTCATAAGCTTTGTTGCACATACAATTCGAAGTGCCTCACACGGCACTGGAAATGTTACTGAGCGTTTTTCGTGGCGTATCTCGAAGTTCTGACAAAGTATTTTCGCCCCCGAAAGTGCATTAAAACAAGTTGAGTAGTTTATAAAAGCGCGATTCCAACTTTTGATTCATATGCTTTCCTGCATTTGCCCCGTCAACAACAACTGCGCAGACGCGGGCAAATATATTTGGGAACGGATCATGCGCACTTTAGTTAACAGTTGAGTCTCGGAAAATGGCGTCAGCTAAGTTTCTCGAGGAAGCTCTAAGTACAGATGTTGATGAATCGGCTGTAAGTGCAATCGTGGGCTCCTTAGAGAATCAGCTCGTCACTTCTACACCCCCAGTACCAGGTCAAACAGGTTCAACGATTGTCATTAATCAGAACCACGTAAATAGTGCAATATCAAACGGCGGGACAGTTGCCCCTCAGAAACATGGGACTATCGCCAACGGTGACTCGATAAGTGCAGTTAACACGACCGATGGAAGCAAACAAGTGACGAACAATGCAATGATTATAAGCGGCGCCGCGGCGCAGACAGCCGCGGGAGTAGTGACTACTGGCTATATAAACCAAACTGGTACATTAGATCCAAACAAATCTAACGAGGGCGTCAAGATTGTATATACGCAAGGACAAGGCAACTTAGGCATGTCGAGTTCGGGGACCATATTACCAAACAGAGTAACTTTGCCTAATCAGTCACTGCCGAATGGCACCATAGGCCTTCCTCCACAAACAGTACTACAAACCAATCCGACAAGTGTACAGACAATACAAACCAAACAACCTACTTTAGTGCTAAAGACCAGCGGGACACCAGGAGCCCCTAACCTAGTGACTGTTCCTGTAAATGTGACTTCTTCGGTGCCCCAGGCTAATAACGTAGGTAGCCCTAGCACTCAATCCCCAAATATCCTTTCCAACCTCCAGGTAGTCAATGTGCGTCCTGGAGTTCCCACTCAGCAGCAGAAAGGTCAACCAGCTCGTGTAGTGCTAAGCGCACCTCAAATAGTCGGGGCCCGGCCAGGAGCTCCAGTAAGTGAACGAAAAGGCAGTCGAATGGGATGGTTCCGCACCCACCCTAAGCTCATGTGCTTATTCGCTAATGGTATACAGCTTCTGACTGACATGTACTAATGCTCTAACTTTTACAACTATCCCATTCGACTGATTTTTAAATCTTGTGTGTGTCTTAAGAAATATCTGAATACATGTTTGACAGTACTTAAATTTGATGTTAAATGAATAATTCAGTTGCACTGACAATGTGTTTGAAATGAAGTTGCAAAAATAAACTTGAAAACAATTTAGGTTATGTACACATTTTTAACCTTGGTTCCATAACTAAAACGATTATCATATACTATCTTTTTTTGAGCGTTTTGCAAACTGATACGATACGATTTAGAGAATTGTCTTTACTAATAACAACTTACTTATCACAAATTATTAGATTTGCATGCTTTACACACTAACTGCAGTTACTGTCGAACTTGTATTTAGTAGATTAAATTTGGTTTTGTCAATGTTTTAAGTACTCGTAAAGCCTTAGAAGTTTTTGATTATTTTACACAATGCTGGTTGTATTTATGTATAAAGATTCTGTTATCTTACTAACCTCTTATATTAACAGTCTACTTCACGTTAACCCTTTTACTATTATTTTTTAAGTTGTATAGTTACTGTTAACTTTTCTGGTGCAGTGTGTTGAGCGTCTCGAGAAGTGCATTGACGTAATAGCGAGTTTATAACAAAATTAATGTTACCGCAATTAGCAAAATCGAATTAATGGCAATAATTGCTTTTAATTTCTTATTTTTAACTTTTTTCATGTAGTTGATTATGACCGTTGTGCCTTTCGTCGTACTTCATATATACTATTGGTGAAACAGTTTGCGTTTTATTTCATAAAATTATGAATAATGTGGTATTTTTAACGACAGTGTAAATAGTAAAATAATTAACTAGGTATTACATGAAGTTGACTCATTACTGTTTTATTTGTTTAGTTAATGCCTTATTCCACATTTTTTTAAGAATATTTAAATAAGAGTTTGTTGTTTATAAAAATTGTGCTATAAACTTATTTCTTTATCTCTGTGCAAAAATTTCCAACTTATTAACAAGATAGTAGTTTAAACTTAAGTTGTTTTCCAAAATTGATATTTTTTTTGTTGGACAATGCACCTATAATGTTTAAATAATGTTAACAGTGGTTGAGATATTAGAACTATAAGACTCGGAAGAACTTACATTAATTTTACCGACTTGTTTACATTTTTGTAGTCTATACCAGCTTAATAATTTCAGTTCTATTTTAAAATATTTACACATTTTGTAACATAATGAGGTGTTAAGTTTTTTTGTTGGAAACCATATTTTCGGTATTAATTTTCGTAACAGGCACTGAATAGAAGTATTTAAAAAAATTATGACGTTTTAGGTTTTTCATGTAATTGTTACTATACATTTTACCATACACCGTTGTATAACTAAGCGATTTTGATAAAGTTTATGCATATTTTTTATTTCTGCAGTTAAATGTTAACCCCATGGCTGCATACCCCCTTCCCCCATATTTTTTTTATATTTATTCTTCATGTTCAAACTCTTCACTGTATTGTAAAAATTAGTGACATAAAACGGACTCGATATATCCTTGGTACAGACTTGCACCTCCAATTTATCTGTTTTTGATAATGTTTACCTTTTAATATGTGAAACTGAACTTGTGAAAGTAATTTATTCTCCTTGCTTTATAAATATTTATTAACCATGAGTAATTTTTCGTTCGTGTTGGACTTATTGGGGTTAACAAAACGTAAAATCAATATTGTTTTGCCTGATAAGGGCCAACGACACAAGAAACATCTGTCCTTTTTGTATGCATTCCCAATAATATAAAAAATGTTAAATTTTTAAAATAAATATAAATAAAGTAATTACAAATCTTTATAGCTAATGACTGAATGTGGATTGCGGGTATATACGTAGTGGTACCAGTAGTTTTATGTTATGCTTGGCTTTTTAGTAGCTTCCCCTCTTTTTTTAGAGTCTGAGTTCGAGCGTTCGAAAGGGTTTGTGTTTGTCTAAAGGTGTGCTTATCAATGTTTTAGCAATTAACTTTACAATCCTTCCATGGTCTACAACCCGGTCAGCAAGGAGCTTTGTTACTCAAGACTGAAAATGGACAGTACCAACTGCTCAGAGTGGGACCGGCTCCCGCCGCAAACATCAATTCGTCTCAGCCAGCGGGACAGCCCGTTACGTTTCGAATGCAAACGGTACCTGCGGTAAGTAATTGGCAGTGTTTCTTTTAGTGTGCATCGAATGTTTCATAATTAAGTAATTTCTTAATAAAACTTACGTCTTTGCGATTTGCTAGTTTAAATATGGCTACGATCAAATTTATCGCAAAAATTGAGTTGTCATGTATCGTTGGGTTCAAAAAAAATTCTATATCAAATAAAGTAACAAAATGTATCATTCTGTATAAAAAAAAAGTCGACAACCACCTGTCATTAAGGCAGGCGTTGAAATAAAAAATGATAGTAAATGGAAGGTATTTTCGGAGTCGTTAGTAATAAATTTTTTCTTTAAAATTGGACCAAAAATGGTGAAGTTATCGTTTGCTTCGTTTTTTATGAGACACTGTATAAATATTTGCCCTAGAAACCCTTGTTTTTTATATAGTGTCTCAAAAATGTTCGGAAGATATTGAAAAGAAATTTTGTACAACAGTTGTTCAAAATGACATCGGTTTTTATTTTAAAAAATATACATTTAGCAAACGTTTAGACTAAGGAACCTAATTTTGCCGATGCAGACTCAATCTGAAGATTTCAGGATGAAAAATTTTGATCTTGATGTCGAAAATTAATTAAAAAAAATTATGTATAAATGTAGACGAGGATTTTTGCTAAGAACGAATTTGATGAGACACGAAACGAAAAAAGAAAACATACTTGTCGTAACTTTTTAGCAAACGGCTGTTAGCTCGGCGGCGAACAATCCCGCCCAGATGGGAGGTACCACGACTGTCACATCTGCGCCACAAACCATCCAGCAGGCACAGGTTGCCCAAGTTCAAGTAAGCTTCCCTTCTGTTCTCGGAAGGCGATGTTTGTAAGTTTTTTTTTTGTGTAGCGACCTGCCAACGATCATACCAAAGAAAAGTGTCGGAAATTCCTAGCAAACCTCTTAGAACTGTCCAGTAGGGAACCCAAGTCGGTGGAGAGAAACGTCAGGACACTTATTCAGGAACTGATAGACAACAAAGTCGAACCGGAAGATTTCTGTGACAAACTGGAGAGACTACTGAATGCATCCCCACAACCGTGCCTCATTGGATTTTTAAAGGTAAGTCTCAATAACAGCAAGGTGCATTTTTTGATTTCAGGTTTAAAAAATCGATGAATATAACGATGCAATTTCTCCAATTTTTGTTTTGTTTTTTGTCTTTTTCTAAGCGTGTGCTCATTTTTTAGCCAGCTGAGCAAATTAAACATTTCCAGGGTAACAAAGTGACAAGCAAACGTCAAAATTGATTTGAAAAAATATTTGATATCTTAATGTTATGTATCAGACAGAAGGTACATTACAAATACTTGATACAGTATGTGCCCAATAATGGACTTGTATATCCTAATCTATACTATAAGCATAAGGAGCAAAGCTCTTAGTGAAATATTTCTCTTGCGCAACACTTTTTTTATTACCATGTAACGATATTCTTAGAGGAATTGAGTAAACGTTATCTAATAATATTTTGAAATAAATTTAAATTGTGATCAAGGTAATCTTGCTAATAGACTAATCTACACAAATAATTAAAATTACACAGTTTCTAAAGAAACTCGTTCTTCAGAAAATAAATATTAATCCATAAAAATGTTTTGAATATTTGAATTTTGTCTTTTTTTAGCAAATTTGAATTTTCTAAAAATGTATGATACGATAATAAAATGAGATACGTTTCGTACTAAAAAAAAATAGTCCATAGGTAGGTATTTTCCCGTAAGAGTTTCTGTTTTAGTTTGCTCGTTTGAATTTATTTTTCTCAGTTTTTGTTGTATTGTGTAATAACGATCTTTTCAGAAAAGTCTACCCTTGTTGCGACACTCCCTAGCCACGCAGGAATTGTCAATAGATGGTATCCGTCCTCCGCCTGCGAACGTAGTTTTCTCGATAGCCGGTGCTACCCCGACCGTTCAAACGGTGCGACCAGGCATAGCCGCCAACCAAGTGAGAATAGTAGCGCCGGGCACGACAGTGGTCCGACCCGGCCAGGTCATCCAACAACGACTGGTGGCCCCCATAAGAGCGCCCGCTCAACAAACCAGGATGGTGACGGCAATAAGACAACCGAACGCTGCGAGTAATGTCATCGTGTCATCCTCCCAACCGCCCGCTTTACACCCGGTCTACCCCAACAACCAGCAGATACGCACCGGCGTCAACATCCGACAGCCTGTCCAAGTGAGAACGGTGGCACCGGGCCAACTGCGGCAGCCCGTACAAGTCCGAGCAGCAACTCCCATACAATCGAAACAACCCGTGGCGGCCGTCAAGGTGCAAGGGGTGAAACCACCAGTGCCTTCTAACCTCAAACTCGCAGCCAAAGATAAGGAGAAGAAGACCTTTTCCGCAGCGTACACGGGCGACGACGACATCAACGATGTCGCCGCCATGGGCGGGGTCAACCTGGCGGAGGAGACCCAGAAGATCCTGGGCTCGACGGAATTCGTCGGCACGCAGATCAGGTCCTGCAAGGAGGAGGTCTTGTGTTCGATGGGCCCCCTGCAGCAGAAGATCAGGCAGGCGATGGCGAGGCACGGGCTCGACGAGCCGAACACCGACGTGGCCGCTTGCATATCCCACGCGGCTCAGGAGAGACTCAAGAATCTACTGGAGAAGCTGGCCGTCATCACGGAACACAGATTGGAGAACATAAAGATTAACAATCGTTACGAGGTTACGAACGACGTAAAAGGTAAAGGAGCAGCCGTTTTTAACTAGGGAAAGGTGATTAATCGAGAGCTTTCGTTGCAGGTCAATTAAAGTTCCTGGAGGATCTGGATAAGGCGGAGCGGAAGAGGCACGAGGAAATGGAGAGGGAGATGCTGTTGAGGGCCGCAAAAAGTCGGTCTAAGACGGAGGACCCGGAGCAGGCCAAGCTGAAGGCGAAGGCGAAAGAGATGCAGAGAGTGGAAATGGAGGAGCTGAGACAGAGGGAGGCCAACGCTACCGCCTTGCAGGCCATCGGACCGAGGAAAAAGCCTAGGTTAGACGGGGAGGTTTCTGGCACTTCGCAGGTAAGAATGATTTTTTTTCGCCGACGCAACTTATATCAATGGATTATTTCGCGTATGTACATTTCATTGATATTTTTTAACATACCAAAAAAATATTTATTTTTGCTAGAAATTTTTCTTCAAAAAAAAATTCATGTTTATATAAAAAAGTAACATTTTTGCTCTCCCTTAATAGGTATCCTGTTTATCGAGCCGTTTGAACTACATAAACAAATCTATGAGCTGCGGAACGAAATCGTGATGCTGTGGCTGCATTTTGATCACATTTCCCGTAACTAATATGTCAATTAATTCAACACTACTGTCAGTACGGTCCGTTTTATACATAAAAAACTATGACGTGCTGTTTAAAACTCAATCAGCCTTACTTTCTCGAGACGTCATGATGTGTGTGAGTTACCGATATATGACAAAATGAAAGCAAAAAAGAAAACATGACTACTACACTATTATAACATAATTCGTAAATTTTTTATTGATTTTTCAGCTATTAGCATAAGAATTAATTGCGCTATGATTTTTGAACAGAAACGTATTTGAGAAATGTTTTTATTTCTCAAGTTCTTTGTCGGGTCAAAACGAAATCTTCAGCTTAAAGTAACATCCTGTATATATCAGTTTTAGTTAGCCAACTTCCAAGTCCAAGAAAGTAATGCATTTTTAGGTGTAGATAATTTTTCCTTCTGTTAAAAAATTTCCTTTTTAAATTTGTAATTACAAAAAAGTTCGTCAAAATTTCAATTAAAATGCCACTAGCTTCGTTCATATATCGAGGCAAATATGAAGAAAAAATACATTTACGAGTATTCGTAGACTAAAAAGTTTAAAACCAGTATATGTCTGGTGGTTTTTACTAACAAATGATCCTAGGCTATATTATGGGTATAATTCAATCCTGGTCGGGGTCATTAGTCTTCAGAGTAGTTATTTTCTGCAGTCGTCAGTAGAAAATTATGTTAATGTTTATTTCTCAATGTTTGCTTACACACGTATTTGAATCGCGGATATTGAAAATGCTCAATCGAAACAGACGTGTTTTTTTAAGTTTCATTGTTCGCTAATGTTTTCGCGCTTGTTTTTCAGGCGAGTGCGGGAGGCGTGAATAGCGGCCTGAGGGGACAGATGCCCTTGCGACAGCGAATGAAGAAAGTGACGTTAAGGGACTTGCAGTTTCTCTTTGAGACGGAGAAAGATCTATGCAAAAGTAAACTTTTATACAAATCATATCTCAAGTGATGCTCGCTTCTTGTCAGTGTTGTGATATTTAGAGACCTATTAGGCATTTTCAAATTAATAATTGATGCATTATCCTCTGTTCGTTATGATATTTATTCCAAGCCAGAGGAGGTTCTGTCGAAAATTGGATCAAAAAGATTTTTTTGACGTCATGGAGATGTTCTAGTTTTTATATAATAACGAAAAAAAATCAATATTTTTATAGTTGTATTGTTAAAATATACATTTAAAGTAGAACTGATTAATTTTATTCGATTTCGGTTTTGGAAAATTATTGAACAAATTCATGACGGCCACTTTAAATCAACAATAGAGTGAGAAGAGATTTGAAAAGAAAATGTTTTGTATCAAAACTTTAGAGGTATTTCATATAAAAAATATTTCATTAGAGCCTTATGCAAAGCTTCATATTTTACTATTTAGCCCCCAAAAGATTGTTTTGGACATGTTTTTGTTGAATAATTGTAAATATCAACCGAGCCGTTTTACAAAAGTGTAGGAAGCAAATCTTTTGTTCTTCCAGAAATTTCCACCTAGAATAATGCAAACATTTCGTTAATGTCAAAAGTTATTTGTTTTCTCTTACATAGATTTTTTGCAAACGTTTAAATTTAACCGAGATGTTCTATATATGTATATTAAAAAATTAATAATTTTTTGTTGAATTGTAAGTAAAGGGCTCTAAAATGTTGACAATCCATGTTTGCCATAGTATTACCTCCTCGTTAGTCCTGATTCACATTTTTTTAGCGATCTCTAGGCATTTACAATTTTTTCTAAAATCTTTGTTCCTGGTTTGATTTTTGGGCTTAGAAGTTCTTTAACATGTTTTTTTTACTCTAAAAATATCGCAATATCCGCTGCATATTTTATTAGTTCTGCATATCCCACTTCTGATGCATCTTCCATTTAATTATTTCTCTGCATTACTTCATTAATTTTATTTATCCAGTTGTTAGGTTCAAATCGTTAAATCATATCCCTAAACTTCATACGAAAAAAAAGTAGGTTCCGAATCTATTTAAAACTTGTTTTGTTTAGAACTGCGATGTTTCTTTAATCCAGTGCCGCAATTTGAATTTTTGAGTTCGTTAAAACGCTTTCTGTTGCCCTTAATAGGCCAACCAATAGAGATTTTTTGGCACCCTCAAATATTACAGTAAAATTTCTTAGTAAACGAAAACAAGTGATTTCCCCAGCAAAGTTGTGAACAATTTTTTTTTAAATAATAAAAACTGCAAAAAAATTTCATTTTTTTGGTTTTTTTATAATCTCGAAAAATAATGATGGAATCGTCTTACTCTTATAGGACTTTTGTAGAGAAAAAACTCTTATTTTGGAGGTTTTTTTGGATTTTCTCTGCAAAAAATTAACCGATCGGGTCGAAAAAAAAAATATTTTACAGGTTTTTTTATTCTCTACAAAAGTCCTATTGAGAGTAAAACGATTCCATAATTATTTTTTGATAGAAAAAAACAGTCATTTTTTTACATTTTTTATTTCAAAAAAAATTGTTCACGACTTTGCTGGGGAAATCACTTGGGTTTTCATTAACTAAGTATTTTTCAAAAGGAAATACATGAAAATTGATGTAATGTTTAAGTGTAAAAACAGCCTTTTTTTCACTCTATAATGCAATTTTCTATTATCTTTATTATTCCAAAAGTAAACTTTTACTTCACTATTCCATAATTCTAACCATTTTCATTTGTAAATTTGTGTTTTTGGTGCACGGAGAACAGAAAAGGTCGTTTCTCTATAAAGTTTAACGAAGCTTAAAGCAGGTTTTCTACAATTTTTTTTTCTTTTACGTCTAAAGTTGACAATTTTTGAGCTACTTCATCACAAAAAAAACGAAATTTTGTTTGGGATGTTGATTTTATAACATACAGTATGGTCTATTAAAAACCAGAACTTCCCTATTTTTTTTTTTTTTGACGACTTTATGTACAGGGTGTTGTTAAGTACATAGACATACTTTAGGGGCAATTGTGTGAGTGAAACAGATGCAAAAATCCATATAAATACATGTACCAGTGGCAGGGATACTGTGAGTTACTTTTACCAAAAAACCCAGAAATCTACGCCACTGAATATTTTTAAAATTCTATCACTACAAAAGAGTTTATTTAATTTTATCCGAAATACGAACCATTTATTTTTTTTTGTTTCACTATCTTTAATAGTATGCAAAATTTCTACAAAATTAATTTTTTTCGGACAGCATAATTAATTTGTTTTTAAAATTGTATTTTTGGCAAAAATCCTTTGAATTCAGTGGATTTTTACATTTAATTAAATATATCTTTATTCTAAGTTTCATCATTCTGCATCGAACATCTTCAGATATATTTTAGAAAAGGTAAAATTTTTTTAAATTTCAACACTCCAAAATTGTTGATTTATACAGGGTGTTTTGTAAATACGTGCGAAATATTTATGGTTACCATTATTTTGTGGAAAAAAAGTTCATATAAACGTAGATCGAAATATGCTGCATTTCCGAGATTCAGAGTATTTCAATTTCAATTTTTTATTTATTTTTAATTATTTCACAGTTTTAAAGATATTAACTTGAAATTTGAAAAACTCTTTAGAGGGATAAATGTGCATTTTTTGGAGTGATGCGAATATTTCTACTTGCACCAGTGGCGTTCCTGCGAGTATGCCATAACCTTTTTTAATAAAAAAAATGGTACGCCACTGGCTTTTCCCGTTCTGATATCTTTTTAGAAATCCGCCATCAATTCTGAATGAAATTGGTCGCTTCAATTTTTTTCGTAGGATGCACCGTTTTTGAGGAAAAAATAAAACGTATTTTATTGTAGGTTTTGTTAATCTTTTATTCAAAGGTGCAAGTAGATTCGGATCACCCCAAAAAATGCACATTTATCCCTCAAAAGCATTTTCCAAACTTTGAGTCGACATCTTTGCAATAATTAATAATAAATAAAAAATTTAAATTTAAACACTGTATCTCGGAAACGAAGCATATTTCAACTTATGCTTACTTGAACTTTTTTTCACAAAATAACTTCGGCAACCACCCCCCAAAAAGGCACTTATTTACAAACACCCTGTATAATATTTTTGGTTTGAAATCACTCAAACAATCGCCTCTTATAGTTTGTCTACATACTTAATTAACACCCAGTGTAGTATGTTTCTAGGTCTACTTCGTGAACTGATTCAGTCGTTAAACCATATCTTGCTACGATTTTATTTATTTTTGGTAGCAATTTTTCGGAAAATCGCTTTCCAATAGACTTTTTATTAAAATTGTGGTTACGCCTTGATCGACATCGCTGAAAACCCCTGCGTTTCATATATTCCCAAACTTCATTAATTTATAACATGAATAATGTTTGTGTATGGACCTAAAATTTTAATTTATGAAGTTCTTGTTTCAGTTTAAAATTGTAGCAGTCACTACAAAAGCCTTAGGCTGAAAAATTAGCCAAGACACTTCTAATTATAACTGTTATCGTCAAAATTGTAGGCAATGTCTAAAACGACTTTATTATTCGCCGGTTATAATGGCATTGTTAGTTATCAGCAAATTTCATCCTCAGGCATCCGCGCAGAGCCTCCTAGATTTTAAAACGAAAACATAAACTTCATTTTAAAATATTAAAGGCCTGCACATACATACGTGTAGCGATGGCGGTGGCATTATTCGAATTTGATTTTGAATACAAAGACCGCTCGTACCGCGATGTGTATGTATTGACCCATTTGTTTTATACAGTACATTAAAACGCTACCGCCACCGTCATCTCTAAAGCTTATGTCTGTGCAGGCCTTAAGCCTGCTTAAAAAATTATTCTGCATTATAAATTGATGAAATTTGACCTGGTCAAATTTTTAATAAAAAAATTCCTAAAGTGATTCTTTGAAAGATCACAACAGGCCATGAGTTGTTTCATTTTTAGAAGTGGCCTTATTAGTGGGCCGCACTGTATATTTGCTTCGTTGAAGAGTTACCAAAAAAATCGAGATAACTATTTTTTATTTTTTAAATGTGGTTAAAAAACGTTGATTTTTGAGTTACCAAAGATACCCGCACCGTTTTGGTTACTACGGTATCCAAGTTTTCATTTCACATTTTTCTGTTTGACTAGTGCCCTTTAATTAATTAATTAAACGAAAAACTAGTCTAGTCACCGTTTGTTATGGTTCACATTTTGCCTTGAGAACACCTGAAGTTTATTTCAGTGAATTTCGAATAGTTTTCGAGACATTCAATGATTCCATTCTTAAGATTCATTATAAGTAATTTCCTTATGCCTTAATTTTATTTTCATAATGGGTAGAAAAAATCTTGCAATGTGATTGTTTAAAATGGCTCGGTTGGAGTCAAGGACGGCCCGTCTTCATAAAAAAAAGCAAAAAAAAATTAAATATAGTTTTTTCTACAATGGTAAATGTAAATATACTGTAGATTTTCTATAACAAATGTCAGTTTTCTTTATAAGAAAATATTTTAAGCGGTCACGTTAATAATTTGTAATTAGTTGTATAATTGTTTTTTAATCTAACTATGAATATAGATATATATAATTTTTGTTATAGATTAATATTTAATATAATAAAACCATGAAATGAATCTAGTTTTTGTTTAACTCTGTAAATAAATATCGAGTCGTATCCAACACTAAAGATTTTATATTTATTTTGTAATACTGATCGTTCATATCTATTTTATTATAATTAAATTGTTTAAAAAATATATGTTTAAGGTGTTTTAGTCTTTGTTATGTATGGATGGTAGTAAGGTATCGTTTTATTGGTCCGTACTGCGTTCTGCCGCAGTACCTAATTTGTTTTTTCCTTTTTTATAATTTATTCCGGCCCTATTATAAACCTAGTACAAATTCTTTGTTTGGGAAATTGAATAAATTGTTTCATTTTTAAAAAACGTCTTTTCTTGAAAAACGTTCACGAGCGAATTTAAGAGAAAATCCGAATTCCCTGCGATTCTTACGCAGATGGCCACCTTGGCTTTCCACTGATATAAACGCTTATATCTTAGGACTTAGAACTTCGAAAACGATAACATTTTTAAGAAATTTATCAAAAAAAGCACAAATAATAATTTGATGAGAAATATCCATGCTCTTGCAAGCAAAATAAGCAGATTTAAGGGGTAATGCCACTAGAATTTTGAAAATATTGATTTTTGGATAAAAAATGTTTTATTATGTGAAGAATATAGGAAAAAAGTTTTAGGTGGAGGAAAAATCGAGATCATGGGTTTTTTCAAAGTATCCGAAAATTTTTGTTTATTTGTTCCGAGACCATCTGTTACTAAGAAACTCTTCGGGCCATACAGCCCCATACAATAACGGCGTTCGTAGCGGCCTGGAAAACCGAAAAAAATCAGGGAATTCTTTATTCATAAAAAACGGAATAGTCGGGGAATTTTAAAAGTATTCATGAACGTCAGAGAATTTGATGTTTGCAACTGGAATTTTTGTGAAAGCCGGTCCTGGATTCTTGAAAGAGAAAACTATTTGTAGTTTTGAAACGTTTATAAGAGGTTCTTTGGGTTTAAAAACAAATTATGGAGTCCAGTCTAGAAAAAGTTCAATGCATAAACACCAATTAGTATGTAAAAATGAACTACAAGTGACTTGGATTTTTTTTTTATAAGTCGGGGAAAATCTGGAAAAGTCGGGGAATTCTATTTTACTTTTCAACTATGAACCCTGTATAAAGGTTTATATATATCCTTATTTTGAAAAATTTTTAAATAAAATTTTTAAGAACTTCATTGAAAAATCAGATTAATTTGATGAAATATCCATGTACGTGCAGCTACCATAGTTTCTTGCGAGCAAAATAAGCAGATTTAAGCACTAATGCCACTAGAATTTTGAAAATATCGATTTTTGGATAAAAAATGCTTTATTATGTGAGGAATATAGGAAAAAAGTTTTAGGTGGAGGAAAAATCGAGATCACGAGTTTTTTCAAGGTAGGTATCGGAAAATTTGTGTTTATTTGTTCCGAGACCATCTGTTACTAAGAAACTCTTCCGGCCATACAATCCCATGCAATAACAGCGTTCGTAGCAGCCTGGAAAACCGGGAAAAATCAGAGAATTCTTTATTCTTCATAAAAAATGGAATAGTCGGGGAATTTTAAAAGTATTCATGAAAGTGGGAATTTGATGTTTGCAACTGTAAATTTTGTGAAAGCCGG